GTAGCTCTTTAGGCTACTCGCTATTATAGTTCTATAACTTAATACTTCTGTATGCTCGTTTTCCATTTGTAAAACAGGCATGTTACTACTAAAATTGTTCGTCTTCAAAGTTTATGCTGCAGGTTTTCTGACAAGAAATCTTCTAGTCTGAAAAGAACTCAGAAGTTTTAATGTTGTTTTGGCTTCCTCATTCCTACTGCAACATGAACAATACATAAAAATGCTGCTTGGTATTGCTATTGGGATGACTTTTGCTTATAGAGACTTTTGAAGGATATTGTTGTTGTTTTCTTTGTTTTAATACTAATTCAAAACTTTGGTTTCCACAGGATGAATCTGAATTTAGAGACAAACTAACTCCCATTACTATTTTTATGGAATATCGTCTGGATTACAGAACAGCTGCAGATGCGACAGGATTGCACCCTATCCTCAACCAGTTCACTCCTGCTAACATGAGCAGACAGGTATACTTCTTACACAATGTGTGATGAGAGAACCCAGAACATATTTTCAGCTTTCAGTACTTACTTCATTTCAGACTTCTGAAAAATTAAGATACCAAAATATAGACCTAGGCTTTAGTCTTTGAATTATGAAAATATTGATGGTTATTGTACATTTGTTTTCTTTTTTTTTTTTCCTTCTCTGTATGTCAAATTTCTGTTTTGACCTGTTATTCCTTAGTGTTGGACTCCCTTTTCATGCACAGTATTATTGAAGGTGTTACTCTTGAAAGACTGGAGTGTTTCATCTATTGCTCGTTCCATGCTGCTTTGGGTATATGATGTTTATCCCTATAGTTCTCTTAGATAAACTATGTTTATTACCTTATTCCTGCCCTTTATACAAATTTTATACTTGTTTGTAAGGAGGATAGTGGAGGTGCAACTCAAGATGAACAGATTATTCGAAGTATGGAAAAAGGATTAAGATACGTAGACATCAGTTCTAGAATTGCAGTGTGGCAGGATGAGGCACAGTGCCCCCCATATATAAAAACTCATCTATTCTCCTCTGAAACTGAGATGAAGATATCTCATCAGCAGCTATTTAGAAAACATTTTATTTGACAGTGAAACAGTATTATTGGAAATGTACGTTAGAACAAATGCAGGAATTATTACAACAATATGCATTTGACTTTTGCATAGGCACATATTCTGCTGGATTGTGGTGAAGATAATGTCTGCAAACCAAAGCTGGAGGTTTCAGTAGAAAGGTAAATATATGAGAAAAATACTACAGGGAAAACTAACTTCCCTACTTGAGTTCTAAACTTCAAGAGCTTGTAATACTTTTGTTAAAAGGATGCGTTGAAGTGAGTAGGACTCCTCAATGTATACAATCTAAACTCCAGCTTATTTGTTCTAAAGAAAACCCATTTTCTGCTTTGTAACCTAATGTCTTTAGCATGTAATACAGGGAAAGCACACACCGTCTGCACCCCAGCTCCCACTATTAAGTACAAAGTATTTATTTGTATATTTGCTAAGCTGGACATGCATAGCAAGCATAAACCAGTGTTGGCTTCAATTGTACCACTGTTCTGTTATTTAATACTAGACAGACACATGAAGATGTGAACAGGAATGATTTTATCCAGCAAAAGGTGGAGTAGGGCTCTGTTGTCACACGTATGAAAAACATTGTTAGTATTGGTAATACTTTTTATTAAAGCTAGAAAAAAGAAATGGGTTTTAACTCATAATTCTTTCATGATTCTGGGCTTTTTGTGCTTTGTATGGCCGAAAGCCATTTTCTCTACTCATAAATGTAATCTGTTTGGGTGGTTTTTTTATGCCCTTAATGCAGAGCTACAGCGTATGCACATGTATGTAGGTAGTACAGTTCACAAGCATATTAATTCATGCAAATGCCTCAAACATTTTACATCAGTGCAGGTACAGTTAGGTTCCCTTGTAGCTGGTGAAATGAAAATTCATTGTTTGGAAAGATATTCTTTTTGCATCTGGAACAAATGTATTACAAGGGTTTTGGCTGTATTCTGTAGTTCAGCCTTCCATCAGGTTTTGTTATAAATGAATGCTTGTACCTCTGCTAAGTAGGCATGTAATTCCAAATGTACATAGTGATTTAGCTGTTCATAATAGTTTGCTCTTTGTTAAAAAAAGGTGTCAGTAGCTTTGTGGTTTGTTCTAAACCTCATAAAAAAAGATTCTTACAAACCAGCATGTAATATTTGCTCCGTTTTTTGTGATTATAGACGTGTTTTTGTTTTAAACATAGCGTAGAGCTCTCCTGATATTCCCGAAGCACGGGTACTGCCTCCAGATTTCTCTAATGTCTTTGTACAATTTCAGAATGTCTCTAGAAGTTCAACCAGTTTGATACACTTGAAAACCTGAATGCAGAGCTCAATGTTACACTTGTTTTTTGTAGTGATCAGAAGCAGATCTATATTGGTGATGACAATCCCTTGACACTAATTGTCAGCACTCAGAATCAAGGGGAAGGAGCCTATGAAGCAGAACTCTTTGTCATTGTTCCACCTCAAGCAGATTTCATTGGTGTTGTTCGTAACAACGAGGTAAAACTCCTAGTATCTTTCTTCTTTGAGTAGTGGTATTTCAGGTGCTGCTGTGGAAGTCTGTGGGAGAGGGTGCATTGGTGGTGTTTTTATGCTTCAATCTTAAAGCAAAGCACCGAAAAAATGATGAGGTTCCTCTAAGCTCCAAGGCTATAAAACTAGAACCAGCCAGCCAGGTGTTAGTCTGCTGCTAGTAACAAAGGAGCATCATCTGTGTGATGGCCCTTGACACACAGAGTTTATCTGCTACAAGTCTTAAGTTGAACAGTGCTTTTGTTAATTTATTTAAATTTAGGCTTAGCCTGTCATATGCTAGGTAGAGCTGGCACCTGTGAGGCAAAAAGTGATGCTGGGTATTACTATTCTCTTCCACCCAAGTATGTAGAAAGTCTTGGGTGTCAGTTATCCTGACTACACAGAATATTAAAATTTATTTCCTGGCTTTCCCTTGTATTATAAAATGCATGTATAACTTTGAAGACATGTGGGTGTACTCCAAATTCTGTTTTGGCCCCTTATAGCTATATATAAGTAATATACTTTCAGATTTTCTTCATCCTTGTTTTTACTCAGTATAATCTATGATCAATCAATATATCTCTAAAGTTGCAGAATGTTAAGGGGAAAACTATTTTTGTCCTGTATCAAAGGATTCCAACTTTGATACCACATCCTTCATGTATGTTGGACCATACCTTGGTTTGGTTCTCCAGTTTGCCTCTGCTAGTCTAGAGCTTTGTGATGTGGCTTTATCCAAAATCGGATAGCTCCTCTAAGACCTCTTTTTGAGTAAGCTACTAAGTATTCATGTTATTTTGCTTTCCAATCTTTATTTTCCTATGGAGAGTTTGCCCAATTGCCAGTTTCTTCACATAGGTTTTAAAGAATCACATGGAGAAATGCATTAGGTCACAAAAATCATCAGTGCTACCCAATATAGGCGTATTGAATTTGTCTTTTTATAACCTTGGAAAGAGCATCTATCTCATACCAAAAATGTCTCCGTGGAGACATTCATACTCAGATTTTATTTAATTTCAGTGCTTGACTGTGTTAGGACTGAGAAATTGTATTAAAATTAATGCAGCATATCTAGAACTTTTCTCCAGACATTCACCCAGGTGTCCAGGTGCGAAGAATGACATTCCTTAATACTTCCTTCTGGTTTATTGCAGGCTTTAGCAAGACTGTCATGTGCATTTAAAACAGAGAACCAAACTCGCATGGTAGTTTGTGACCTGGGAAATCCCATGAAGGCAGGAACTAAGGTAAGGTTTGGTCCAACAGGTGTCTGATAGCTCAAACAGGAGTGCAGTTGGCATTTTTCTTAATCACAGTAGATTTTGGGCTGGATGTTTACTCACACGAATTTAAGATTAGATCTAGCTGACATTTAGCTGCCCCCATGTTTGGTTAGTTCTGTGGTACTTGGCTTCAACTTGTCAGCTAAAATAAAGGCTGAAAGGAGTGTTCTTGAGTGTTATGATGCAACTGAAAAGGAGTAGTTCATTAAACAATGGAATTAATGAACTCTGGTCCCTTATGAGTTTGTCTTTAGATTCATCTGATACATATTTTTAGTATACAATAGAGCTAGATCACGACACACCTTTCTTTTAGTGGAAACCTAAGAGTGCTTCTCTCTTCCGCCTACTTTTGTGATGTCAGAGTTTTGTGTAGTTGAGACATCTGCAAATCCTCCAAATGTAGCTGAAATTGGAAGAATTAAAGAACTATTAGTGGGACCTGGTGAATATTAAGATGATATGACATAATAAGTCTTATTTTCTGAGGAAATAAAGTGAAAGTCAGTCACAGTTTGGTGCTTTTCTTCCAAGAAACATTTTGTATAGAAGAATAAATGCTATTTCGAAGTCTTTCAAAGTATATCAAGCTGAACTGTACAGCTGTTGAAGCAACTATCATGCACTGACTTAGAGCAAACCTTGGGAACTGCATTTAGAATCATTGAAGCGTGCCCTGTTCTTTTGACTGAAGTACTTTTCACAACACATAGGGAGGCTCAGTTATGTGTAAAAATGGCTGAAGCAAGGGGGGTGAGCATGATGTAAACTACATTTCTATTTTGTAGCAGTAATGCATCGGCTGAAATCTACAGAGAGTACGGTACACTTCTAGTCTTGATGAACTGGACAAGTTTTATTTGCCAGTTCTCCGTGTGTGTTCCCTTATGCCCACAAGCCTCAAGCAATTTTGTTGTAGTATAATAGTATTAAGAAGCTTTTATTGCATATTTTGTTGTGCTTCCACTGAACCACAGTGATTCTTTTCTAAAGCTATTAGCTGGCCTGCGTTTCAGCGTGCACCAGCAGTCTGAAATGGATACCTCTGTGAAGTTTGACTTGCAGATCCGAAGGTATGGAAATCTATGATTATGTACCTCACCTGGCACATAATATGCTAAGTAGCATATGAACTAAGCAGTTAGTTTCACTCTGAACTAATTCTCTGGTCTTTGCCTTGTTTAAAAAATAAACTCACCTTTTTAATGAATTGTGTTTTCTAAAATAGAGAAAAAAAGTAAGAAAATGCAGTTTTCTGTTCGAATGCAGTTTCTTTTGCTTACAGCTTTTAAACAGGCTGTGGCGTGAGTGAAATACTAATAATGTGGAACAAAACCATTTAAAGTGTTTCAAGAAAAACTTTATAATTTCGTATCTGTGTACCATTGTGATCTAATGAGACTTGTGTAGTGCCAGAGAATGACTTGTGTCTTTGGGTTTCTAGCCCTGTTTTAAAACTGATGTTTGAACTCTGAATTCCTTCTGATGTAAAGCCAGAATTTCAAATTTAATGTATTTTGAGCATGAGGGGTATAAGCCTTTAAGAAAAGGCAATGCATGTGATGGTTTGAGCAGAAGCAATGTGCAGGGAACCATTTTAAGTGTTTTACAGTAACCAGCGTAAGACAGTCTAAAAATGAAATAGAACAAACCAGTAATGTTAATTATAAGATGAGCACGCTGCTTTCATATAAATATGATATATAAATCTGAATGTATACCTACTGGAGTTGATACTTAAGATTTGGAGATGTGGTCAATAGGAATCTCTTTACCTAATACAGTTTTATGTTGCTTAATGGACAGTATGAACACAGCTGCTCTTTTTTCCCCATGGTGGACCAAAAGCGCTTTTTTTTTTTGCCATTTAAGAGCTTCATTTTTTTTTCATGTAGTGAATAAATTTTTCTCATCCACATATGCATTTTTTGTCTACAAGAGTTAAATAAATTTAAACCTCATTCTATTTTAATAGTACAGTGGTTTGCAAACTGATCAAAGGCCTTGGCAGCATTAAATATCTCTTTGATGTTGCATTACTGTCTGCTCAATTTTTTCCCCTCTTCTCAATCAGCTGGTAAGCTGTGCCAGTGGCATGTGACTCCAATTCTTTGCAGAAAGTGATCTTCCCTGGGGTGTCTGTCATCTTCTTTAGGCTAACAGCGGTCACTAACTACCTTTCGCTGGGAGAAAAAACAGTCAGTGAGTTTGCTTAAGTCATGCTTCTCTTCTGATGGAAGAGAAAGGAAGTTCCTGTAACACTTTCACCTTTTATGGAAGGAATTTTCTTACATGACTTACAAATGCAAGAAGAGTGATGCAATCAAACATGGGAATCACGGTTCCTAGTGACAGGCATTATCAAGGTGTTATCTTGAAGAGGTTTTAAAGATCACATTAGTTGTCTTAAACTCACAAAGCTAGATTTCCGAAGCTGGCACAATTACTAGCAGAGTAACTCTAGTCTCTGAAAGAATGAGGTATTTACAGATCAGGAAGAAAATACTGTTGCATGTATTTTTTCTTGCAGAAGCAGTGAAGAATAATTGGAGGATTTAAGATCTTTCTAACAGAAATTGTTTGGTTAGGTAGATAGAAAAATCAGGTGTGTCTAAGGAGATCAGGATTCTGTTTCCCAGCTCCACTTTGAGGGGAATAGGAGTGTTCTCTGTATTTCTTGGTTTACGAAGGAAGTCCAAAGCAATTTTATGTACGAATGACTCTACATGCCTTAATATCTGTTCATCTCTTGGTGTATCTGAAGTGTAGGGATTGGACGTTAACTGTATTTATTTACTGGTTTAAACACTGTGAAGAGAGGTAGGCAGAAGTATTCCTAGCATACTTTTCTGCCCTGGGACTAGTTAACAAGTCCCTGAGCAAAACAGATGTCCTGAAGTGGAACTTAAGGCTCTGCTAGTGATATAGTTGATGTTATCCCACAGCACCGGCATTTGAATTTTCTTACATGCGGCAGCTAAGGAACACAGTGAGCATTAGCTTTGTGTCCTTTATCGAATTCTCCCTGCTGAAGGACCTCCAAACCGCACTGAGGGTGGGACTGTCATGCATTTATGTGAGAACTTGCTGGAATCTGCTCCTTAGATTTTAGTAAAGGTGCTTTCCTACAGGGGCTCAGGAGTCATGTTATGATGTTACATACATTATTTTAAGGTTTTCGGGTTTTTTAAATACTTAGCTTATTTCATCTAAGAAATTAACTTTATTTTCTCTGCAGTTCCAACCTGTATGACAATCTAAGTCCAGTAGCATTCTATCAGGCTGACCTTGCTATTTCAGCAGCTGTTGAAATTAGAGGGTAAGCACTGATATTATTTTAATAAATATCTTTCTCAAATCAGCTTTGTGTGTTTGCTTCTTTATATTCAATGAACTTTCTTTCAGGTTTGCATAAGTTTTCAGGAAGCCTTAGGAAATTTTTAATCACAAAGAAAATATCACAGAATGGCAGGGGTTGGAAGGGACCTCTGGAGATCATCTAGTCCAACGCCCCTGCTAAAGCAGGTGCACCTACAGAAGGTCACACAGGACCACATTCAGGCAGGTGTTGAATATCTCCAGAGAAGGAGACTCCACAACCTCCTTGCGCAGCCTGTTCTAGTGCTCTGTCATTTTTAATGTAAATGTCACTGTTTGAGGCTGGGCCGGCCACT